GCAGTTTGGCTTTCGTAATGAAACACATCGTCTCCACGACGGCGGCAGCAAACAACACTACAGAGCGAATCAAAGTGACGCCTTCTTTCTTTGCGAATACATTTGGACGGTGTTATGGAAATCTTCCCACACAGTGACGTTGATATGTGGGAACGTGTTTGAACGAGGCGTTTTAGGAAGCAGTGGCTGAGCGTTCACTTTTATAAAGAATGTCTCTTTGGGTTTGAGATTTTAATCTTTGCGACTTTACGGATCTTCTTTATGCACCAACTGCTTTTAACACTCCAAAGATAAGGAAAACATGAAATCGCATCATATGACCCCTTTAATGTTTAAGCAGTCATAGGTCTTACTCATTTTAATTTCTCATTTTGTGTGGTTTATTCAGGATGAGGAAGAGGACTCTCCACTGGATTCATCGAGACCCGATCGAGCTGTGATGGTCCATCCTGTGGCAGAGAGACTGGACACGATGATGACTGTCCTGCTGTCTTATATTAAGGACATTTGCCATGTCAATGGTCAGGACATTACCATTTTATGAACCATAGTTGTTGTTTTTTAAGGTCCATTAACATGTTTAATCACAATTCGTGTAGGACATTCAGTCATTTTATAGGAAAGAAAAAATATATACTACTGTTCCAAAGTTTGGGGTCAGTAAGAATTTATTTATTTTTTTTAAAGAAATTAATCCTTTTTTTTTTTTTAGCAAGGATGCATTAAATACATTCGGTCTCAAATGAATGCTGTTGTTTTTGAACTTTCTATTCATCAAAGAATCCTGAAAAATGTATCACAGTTTGCATAAAAATATTAAGCAGCACAGCAGATGTATTTAACATTGATCGTAATAAGAAATATTTCTCGAGCAGCAAATCAGCATATTAGAATGATTTCTGAAGGATCATGTGACACTGAAGACTGGAGTAATGATGCTGAAAATTCAGCTTTGCATCACAGGGATAAATTACATAGAAAACAGTTATTTTAAATTTGAATATTTCACTGTATATAAACGAATACTTCACTGTATATTTCAGCAAACAAATGCAGCCTTGGTGAGCATAAAACACTTTCAAGAACATCTAAAGATCTTACCAACCCCAAACTTTTGAACAGCAGTCTAAGTGTAATTTTTGTGTTGTGACATGGCAGCATGTTTATACCTTCGTGTAAAGAAGTGCATTAAAATGCACAGGCATTAAACATATTTCATAAATAACATTCATATGTGCATTCATAATTTAACTTTGTATCTGAATTAAATATATATATATATTATTTTTTTTTGTTTCAATCTCATTAGGCTCATTAGATATTGAGAAAACCAAAGCTCTGTACAGAGACCTGCTGTCTGTGTTTGATAAGGTGGTGCTTCCCACTCACGCTTCCTGTCACGTGCAGTACTACATGTTCTACCTGTGCAGCTTCCGCCTGGTGAGTTCCCACTACTCTGTTATTCTCAAACAAACAAGCAAAATCATAACTTTTCTCTCTTTTTTTCCTTTCAGGGTTTGGCTGAAGCTTTTTTGGATCATTTATGGAAGATGTTACAAGCCCCCAACCAGCCCCCTGTCCTGAGACAGGCTGCTGCTGGATACATGGGCAGCTTCATGGCAAGAGCCAAGTTTTTGCCAGTATCGTACGTGACCTTATCATGCAGTTTTATCTTATCTAATGCAGTGGAGTTCAATATTTAATCATCTTTCTTGGCAGTGGTTTGTTACCTTGATTAAGTCATTAAACATTAATGCCTCTTTGTTGTTATCTGGAAAAGAAAAGGGTTTGATTGGACACAGGTACCTGTATTTGTCATCATTTGAAATCATGTCAAAACTGGTTCTGTAGAGTTTCCTCTCTTCCACAGGACAGTCAAGGCCTGTCTGGACCTGTTGGTTCCCTGGTTGCACCTTTATATTAACAGCCAGGACTCGGGATCCAAAGCATTCTGTGACGTCAATCTGCACGGCCCCTTTTATACAGCCTGCCAGGCTGTGTTTTACACGCTCATCTTCAGACACAATTCCATTCTGGAGGGCAATATGAAGAAAGGTCCGTACATGTGGAATTTACCTGTTTATACATGAAGCACAAGCGTGAAAATCATTTGAGTTGTTAAAACGTTTTTTTCAGTTGTTATAAGTTGTATAGTCAACTATACAACTTATAAGTTGTCAAGTACACAATTTTTTTGCCCTGGTCTGTTAAACATGCAAACTATGACCTGAATTCACCACTTCTAGAATATGTTTATTTGTATTTTATTTCTAAATTTCATTTTTTTTTATTTTGGGGGTCAGAAATTCAAAAATATTGCAGTGATCTATTCTGATAACATAATCAAGAAAAAAGCCTCGTTAAAAGAACAAAGTGCTTGAAAAGAAATCCTTTAGTTTGGCATGTTTTATAAAAATTTCTTAGAAAAATTATTTTAACAATAATGCTTCATTGCTTGTTAATATTTGAAAAACTTTTGTCTTCCAAATCAAAGTCATGTGATTTGACTTCAACCAACATGCAGAAAAAAAGAATAAAAAATCATAATTTAATACTTTTTACTGCAAGACAAGGTCAGTTCAGGGTGTAAACCTTGTGTGACTCTCCAAAACATTTTTTTTATTATATTAAAATGAATACTAACACTTTATTATAGTGTCCATGTTACACGTTACATATACTTATTATAGTAATTACAGTAAATTATGCATAATTACATGCAACTAACTCCAAACCCTAATCATAACCTTAAAGCTATAGTACTAATATCACTCAGTACTTAAATGTACAATTAAACTGTAACAAGGACACCTTAAATGAATAATTCATGATGAATAAATAAAATGCATGTTAATTTTGAGTGTCATAAAACTATAACATTTTTGAACTTGACAAATGTGTTTTAAACTAGACTTTTTGTTTGACCCTTCTGCAGGGTTGGCGTACCTTCAAGGTTTGAATCTCGAGCGTATAGTGATGTGCCAACTCAACCCACTGAGGGTCTGTCTACCTGCTGTCACCAACATGTTTGCAGCCATCACCAGGTACAGCACCAGAGAGAGCCATCATCAGATTACAAAAACTTCACGAAATAAAAGCATGATAAATGAGGGCAATTTCACCCATCTGTTGGCAGGAAGTACCAGCTCGTGTTCTGTTACACCATCATTGAACGGAACAACCGGAACTTGTTGCCAGTGGTGAGCTGTTCAACGGGCGGCAGCTCGGTATCCACCAACACAAACCCTCTGGATACCTTCTTCCCTTTTGATCCGTATCTCCTGAAAAGGTAAAAAAAGTCATGCTCATTCCTGTTAAACTCAGCCTTGGAAATAGTTCACTAAAAATCATTTATGTATGTATTCTTTTTTACAACAGCTCTGGAAAACTCATTGAGCCAATCTACCAGGCGTGGGAGGAGCCATCCGATTGTATGATAGATGTGCCCAAGAAGGAAGTGAGAAAGGTGATGCACATTCTCAGCGGCCACAAAGAGGGTTTAGAGATTTCAGCGTTTTTGCCTGCCCATTCAGGCAAATTTAAGTGTCCATATATATATTATATATAAGCCACTGTAAGAAAACTGAAACATTGTAATTGATGGAGTTTTTTTTTTTACTCTTTTTGGCTCATCTCAGTAGTTTAGTCTCTTCAGAGAATATCCTATATCACTTTGATCTTGTCTCACAGGGGTCTATGGAGGAAGAAGATGACTTTCTGCACGGAGACTCAGTAGTGGACATGACTCCGGGTTCTTATGACTCTCATCTGCACAGTCCACGGAGCGTTGGCTCTCCCCCTGTCTCCTTCCTGCAGAGGCCTTTCTGATCCACTGTTGTAGCAATCAGCTGGTCACAGATGGGCTGTTCAGCCCAATATCACACCAGGAGGGGGCGCTCAGGGACTGCTTGTGATGGCACAAATTTGACAAATTTGACCTTCACACAGCAGCATTACTGACCCCAGTGTTTGGCAGTAGTTTTACTAAACTCTCTACTTCACTTTAAGACTGCATCATAAAATACAAATATGTGTTTACTGAACATTTGTGCTATATTAATAGTAAAATGATAGAAACATTGGTGGTTTATCAAGTAGACAGATGTATTTTCTGTTTTCAGGAGAAACTGTCAGCACAGATGTGACAGTTGTAATGAAATTCTCAGTGTGTTCTCACTTTGAGTAAATGTAAGATTTTCAGTTTATTCTGAAATGATTTGAGAGGTTAGAATTGCCTGGTGGTGTGTTGAAATGGTAAATTGGTGTCACTTCCCATGATACGAGTTTAAGCTCGGACTAAACCAGTGTCTGTTTGCACAAACTATTCTGTAGGAAATTGACATACAGAGAATACCTTCATTTAAATATGGTTTTCTATGTTACTTGTTGAAATTTTAACTGTTGTCGTCATAGCCTCCACAGTGATTTGTACTTTTGTGTACAGTTTTGAATTCAACTTGAAATTAATTAACATTAAATAATAAAATGGTCTAGCTGTTTTATTAAAATGTGGAAAATATAATCTAATTGTTGACTTTTTAAGAGACATATTACTCATAAAATATGTATTCTTTTCTTCCACCAGAAATGTAACATTTTAATTATAATTAGAGTAATAATTATAAAATGTTGAATTATTGCAGATTAACAAAATGGTCCTTGCCTTAATTTTCTTGTGTGTGCTTATTAGTAAATAAGTGATATATATTCAAATTAAAAAAAAGTTATTTTAAATTGTAATGATATTTCACAGTATTATTGTTTTCACTGTATTTTTGATCACCAAACGCTTTGGTGAGCATTAGTGACCAAAATAAAAGACAATTTAAAAACAATTAAAAAAAACCTTACTGATCCCAAACTTTTAAATTGTATATATATATATATATATATATCTGCTAACAAAGTGATTAACCTATGACTATGCATGTTACCATAAAAAGGTTACTGTAAGGTCAAATTCATTGATGTATCTTTAATAGAAACTGTACAGATGTGTGTAGTCTTATCTAAGAAAAAAAAAAAAAGACCCACACAAGCTGTTGCAGATTACACAAGCATTAAAATTGTGTCAGCATGCAGCCCTTGGTAGCCAAATAATTTTTTAAATATTGTACGATGAGCCAGCTTTGGCTCAGCAATGTAGACTGGCACGCATACACTACTATTCCTGCAGAAACGTAAGCATGAGCGTGTCTGTTGACCACAGTGGATTTGAAAATAACATATTTTTAAAGTCTATTGTACTGAAGTCCACTGCATATAATACAAAAACATCACATTTGTTCAGACTTTAATTAAAAACATTAAAAGAAAGATATTTAGGCCACACATATGATGCAATCTGGTTGAATCACAGGACTACATGTCAGCATTTGTAGAGCATGTGCTGTTATTAATATCAACAGCCCATCTGCATAACCGTACACCTCTATCCTCAGGAAATGAATGGTACCAGTTTATTACACATTGATATAAGTAACTGCAGATCCTATATGGCAAGACAAAACAGCCGAATACAGTGTGCTTATGAAAACAGTAACCTGATCCATGTGCATTGTTCAGCTGAATGGATGCATTCAGGGTGGAACACTGCAATATGACTCCCATTACTTGATACCAGTGCCATGATGAGCAAATCCCCCCCCCCCCCCCAAACAACAGAATCATAGTCCCGAGGAGCCAGAGATGGAGGAAAGTTACCATCCATCAGCTGAAACAAACCATGAAGGATCCCCCCAAAGCACTTAACAGACCATACCTGATCGTAATGGGTGGGTGACCCAGCGTAGACTGACATGATCGGCAGACATGAAGAGGAAATTGACGGCAAGATTTACAAGGTTTATGACGGCAACCGCACACATACTTAGAAGCGAGCGTGTCTATGTGTCTCTGAATAATAAAAGATTCGGACTGAAAATATAAAATCTTCAAAACGTCATAGCATTTCTCAGAACAGATACAAATAAGCATCATATCAAATTATGAAGAGTGGGGACTGTCCCGAAGATCCCTAAGTGAAATCTAATGCATGTACTGTATAATATACCTAACTCTAATAGAGAGGTCAGCTGCACAGTCACATGTGTTTTCATTACAGTTGTTGAAATGGGGAAATATACCGTCTGAATGAGAACTGTGTGTGGTAACTGCTTCATCTGCTATAAGTGTTACGCACGGCACATGCTGACACAGTTGAAGTCACATTTGAGCATTTCAAAGTCACCACTGCTGTTAATGGTGCCATTTGTGTTTCGGATTTCAATTGCCTTTGTTGGTTTCTGCCTTTATGTCATGACACTGAGTTCTGCTACATGTTAAATATGTACACGGACAGCTTTAAAAAATGAGTATGAGTTTGATCAGTAGACCTCAGGCCTCTGGTAGCCACTTGAAAAGAGTACAAACCACACTGCAAATCTTCAGTCTCTTATGTTCCACAGTATAGGTGCAGTTCGATCTTGATGTTCTGAATGAGCCCGGTTTGTCTGTCTATCCCAGATGCTCTACTGACCTCGCCGCTCTACTGCAGCCCCGAGGACAGGAGGTTGTGGCCATTGAGTGAGGCTACAGGGAAAAAAAGAGCATTATGTAAGTCTATAATCTTCTAATGTAAATATGAAGAATCTCATTATCATGTTTATGATTGTGTTTCATTCTGAAGTGATATGCAGTTGCCATATTCTCTTAAAGAGTATGCACTTTTCACAGGAGGAGGTTGTGGCCATTGAGTGAGGCTACAGGGAAAAAAAGAGCATTATGTAAGTCTATAATCTTCTAATGTAAATATGAAGAATCTCATTATCATGTTTATGATTGTGTTTCATTCTGAAGTGATATGCAGTTGCCATATTCTCTTAAAGAGTATGCACTTTTCACAGGGAAAGCTTCAGAAGTTAAAAGGGGTAAAAAAATATAACTGTCATTTGGAGTCAATGTTACAATCACACAATGGCTGACACTACTGGACATTCATTGTACCTTTACACATGATTTTTCATTGATAACCTCTTTTATAATGTAAAAAAATTTTTTGTAACTGTTAAGACTTTAAGAACAGTTAAAGTTGAATTAAGAAAATTAAGAAAACCTTTAAATTTCTTTGAAGAAATAATACATTACTTCAATTTAATATATTATTTTAATACTATTCATTAAACACACATATGTATACGTATGTATAAATACACAAAGTTTACTGAAGAAAGAATATGCTTAAAAAATATGTATATATATATATATATAATATATACAGTTTAATGAAGATAAAAGAAAATATGCTTAATACATTAAATTAGTATTTTAATAACAATGAATGAATGAATAAATACATACCAGAAAACAAATGTATAGCGCATATCCAATAATTAAAGAAATTATATAACAATATTCCAGTTAAAATTTCAGAATGATAATTGAAGACTAATAAAACGAATAAAACCCGTTTTGTTTCAAAGGATCTTCTGAAATGCACCCTTGAGCACTTCGGGTAGGATTGACCCTATGACAAGGCTGCCCTGACTGTTCTCATTTCAAAATAGCATGATTAATACCATTTCAAACTCTAAATGACTAAAATACGAGCCATGTGACACCTGCTTTGGTGTTTTCAAAACTCCTTGTCAAACTGGATAACTAAGAGACTTTGCAAGGCCAGCGGTTATAGTGAAGGGTTTTGTGACAGTGAAATGAACATTTGGCCTAAGCTAAACTCAGCTGACAGCAGCAGTTGAAGGGAGAAATGCTGATTGCTTCATAACACAATAAAAACGGCCACTCACTCTGAATCACAGTCTTCTTCAGCCTTCACAATGCTTCCCTCTACGTACTGCAGTAATTCTGCGAAATAACCAAACATTTAGTGAATAATAATAATATCACAGATTCGAAAACACAAGTTCAAATGAGTTAATTACAACAAAATGTCCAGAAATTGTCTTAATGTCCCAGTTTATGTAAGTCACACTCCACTCAAACAGACTGATGTGGTTTCAAACGATCAGACTCAAGGAGAGAGGCTTTAAGCAGCCACTCAGATTAGTCGCCCAGAGCTGTTGACACATTTGCACATTTCTCACTTACTGTGATCCTCAGTGCAAAGTGAGCAGACACCATCTACGAGCTCTTTGGCCTCGGCTGCGAGCTGGCAGGCAGGGTCTGGGATCAGGGAGGGTGTGTCGGGGCTGTCAGTCGCTGGAGACGCTTGTGCGCACCTGTAGGATGAGGATAAGTCATGATCTCTGACACAGTGAGACACTACAACTTTCAGTGTTTGTCTTGAGAAACTTACCCACTTTCAATCCCAAATAAGCTGGCATTGGTGAGAACTTTGTGGACATTCTGTAAAAACAGAGTGCAAATTTTAAACTTGGATATTTTTTTGTGTTTTGGAAGCACCACTGATATCTAGATACAACAGTGTACTTTAAAAGGAACTTTAAAACCAAAAATGAATATTCTGTCATCATTTACTCACCCTCATGTCATTCCAAAACTGTGTGACTTTCTTTCTTCTATTAAACATAAAAGAAGGTATTCTGAAGAAAATTGTGCAGTTGATGGTAGCCATTGTCTTCTATAGTATAGAAGACAATGGCTACCATCAACTGTTTGGTTCCCAAAATTCTCTTTTGTGTTCAACAAAGAAACTCATACAGGTTTGGAATGACATGAGGGTGAGTAAATGATGACAGAATTAGCATTTTTGGGTGAACTATCCCTTTAAGTCAAAAAAATGTGGTTTGTGTTTACCTGTGCAAAGCCAAGGAGCTTCTTGTTGGATATCTCCAGGTGTTTCCGTGTGAGTTCAGACCTTCTCAACTGGCTGTCAATGATGGCGAGCCTCCTGTTCAGCTCCATCACATTCTCCTGTGAAGAAAATGGGCTTTAAAACCTTTACTAAAACATAAACTATTAAAACCATTTTCGTTAATGGAAATAAAGCTGAAATATAAATATTTGATGAAAAGCACAAAAAAAAAAAAACTAGAAATGTTGCCATGGCAACTAACAGAAATAACTTATTAAATAAGTATATCTATATATATTTTTGTTTCACTTCTTAGTTTAAATCATTTTAAATTATATAAGATATATAGAAATATTTTTAAAAACTAATAAAATGACAAATTCACTAAAATGTAAATCAAAATGTAAAAAATAAAAGCTAATTCAAAATTCATAATAGTATGCAAATACTAAAACAACACTAGTTCATCATTAACAGGACTGTGTTGTACTAGCTAACAATAACATCTGCCAACTCATTCTAGTATACAAAAGTTTTCAGTCATTGCATCATCTTATAAATCATCTTAAAAATGATATAAATCATTTTTCAGCAAACAGAGAGATGTGATGAGGAACATTTACCTTAGTAGCCTCCAGGCCTCTCTGTTTCTTTCCGGAAAGCTGGTTCTTCAGATCTTTGATTTCAGCCTCCAGGAGCTGAATGACCTCCTCGTAGTCTTGTTCAGCACTGTTGGTCTCTTTCTGAACAGCCTCTGCTACCTGCAGCTTACTTTTCAGAGACTTGTTCTCCTCCACTGTGGCTGTGGCCTTCTGTTTCAGCCATATGCATGGAAATAAGGGAATGCACAAAATGACGTGTGGAGAAATGTCTTAAATGTTTGAACAAGTTCAGATGGTCATGTTGTGATAGTATATATTTGGTATACACAAATATAGTAAGGTAAAATGGGCATCACAAAGTGTTGATGTATTAAAACTGCTCACATGACTCTTAATATTTGGGTGGCATATTTTGAGGCATTTATGTCACATTAAACAAATCATGTGTTTATTTGTGATGCTGCAGGCATTACCTCAGCCGTCTTCTGCAGTTCCTCCTTCAAAGTCTTCTTACTGTCTTCTGTGTCTTTCAGTAACACCTGAGAGCAATAAATGTTCATATCACAAAGGCTTTCTGCACAGATATTCAGCTCCGCCTCTACAAACCACACTGCAAATCTTCAGTCTCTTATGTTCCACAGTATAGGTGCAGTTCGATCTTGATGTTCTGAATGAGCCCGGTTTGTCTGTCTATCCCAGATGCTCTACTGACCTCGCCGCTCTACTGCAGCCCCGAGGACAGGAGGTTGTGGCCATTGAGTGAGGCTACAGGGAAAAAAAGAGCATTATGTAAGTCTATAATCTTCTAATGTAAATATGAAGAATCTCATTATCATGTTTATGATTGTGTTTCATTCTGAAGTGATATGCAGTTGCCATATTCTCTTAAAGAGTATGCACTTTTCACAGAGAAAGCTTCAGAAGTTAAAAGGGGTAAAAAAATATAACTGTCATTTGGAGTCAATGTTACAATCACACAATGGCTGACACTACTGGACATTCGTTGTACCTTTACACATGATTTTTCATTGATAACCTCTTTTATAATGTAAAAAATTTTTTTGTAACTGTTAAGACTTTAAGAACAGTTAAAGTTGAATTAAGAAAATTAAGAAAACCTTTAAATTTCTTTGAAGAAATAATACATTACTTCAATTTAATATATTATTTTAATACTATTCATTAAACACACATATGTATACGTATGTATAAATACACAAAGTTTACTGAAGAAAGAATATGCTTAAAAAATATGTATATATATATATATATAATATATACAGTTTAATGAAGATAAAAGAAAATATGCTTAATACATTAAATTAGTATTTTAATAACAATGAATGAATGAATAAATACATACCAGAAAACAAATGTATAGCGCATATCCAATAATTAAAGAAATTATATAACAATATTCCAGTTAAAATTTCAGAATGATAATTGAAGACTAATAAAACGAATAAAACCCGTTTTGTTTCAAAGGATCTTCTGAAATGCACCCTTGAGCACTTCGGGTAGGATTGACCCTATGACAAGGCTGCCCTGACTGTTCTCATTTCAAAATAGCATGATTAATACCATTTCAAACTCTAAATGACTAAAATACGAGCCATGTGACACCTGCTTTGGTGTTTTCAAAACTCCTTGTCAAACTGGATAACTAAGAGACTTTGCAAGGCCAGCGGTTATAGTGAAGGGTTTTGTGACAGTGAAATGAACATTTGGCCTAAGCTAAACTCAGCTGACAGCAGCAGTTGAAGGGAGAAATGCTGATTGCTTCATAACACAATAAAAACGGCCACTCACTCTGAATCACAGTCTTCTTCAGCCTTCACAATGCTTCCCTCTACGTACTGCAGTAATTCTGCGAAATAACCAAACATTTAGTGAATAATAATAATATCACAGATTCGAAAACACAAGTTCAAATGAGTTAATTACAACAAAATGTCCAGAAATTGTCTTAATGTCCCAGTTTATGTAAGTCACACTCCACTCAAACAGACTGATGTGGTTTCAAACGATCAGACTCAAGGAGAGAGGCTTTAAGCAGCCACTCAGATTAGTCGCCCAGAGCTGTTGACACATTTGCACATTTCTCACTTACTGTGATCCTCAGTGCAAAGTGAGCAGACACCATCTACGAGCTCTTTGGCCTCGGCTGCGAGCTGGCAGGCAGGGTCTGGGATCAGGGAGGGTGTGTCGGGGCTGTCAGTCGCTGGAGACGCTTGTGCGCACCTGTAGGATGAGGATAAGTCATGATCTCTGACACAGTGAGACACTACAACTTTCAGTGTTTGTCTTGAGAAACTTACCCACTTTCAATCCCAAATAAGCTGGCATTGGTGAGAACTTTGTGGACATTCTGTAAAAACAGAGTGCAAATTTTAAACTTGGATATTTTTTTGTGTTTTGGAAGCACCACTGATATCTAGATACAACAGTGTACTTTAAAAGGAACTTTAAAACCAAAAATGAATATTCTGTCATCATTTACTCACCCTCATGTCATTCCAAAACTGTGTGACTTTCTTTCTTCTATTAAACATAAAAGAAGGTATTCTGAAGAAAATTGTGCAGTTGATGGTAGCCATTGTCTTCTATACTATAGAAGACAATGGCTACCATCAACTGTTTGGTTCCCAAAATTCTCTTTTGTGTTCAACAAAGAAACTCATACAGGTTTGGAATGACATGAGGGTGAGTAAATGATGACAGAATTAGCATTTTTGGGTGAACTATCCCTTTAAGTCAAAAAAATGTGGTTTGTGTTTACCTGTGCAAAGCCAAGGAGCTTCTTGTTGGATATCTCCAGGTGTTTCCGTGTGAGTTCAGACCTTCTCAACTGGCTGTCAATGATGGCGAGCCTCCTGTTCAGCTCCATCACATTCTCCTGTGAAGAAAATGGGCTTTAAAACCTTTACTAAAACATAAACTATTAAAACCATTTTCGTTAATGGAAATAAAGCTGAAATATAAATATTTGATGAAAAGCACAAAAAAAAAAAAACTAGAAATGTTGCCATGGCAACTAACAGAAATAACTTATTAAATAAGTATATCTATATATATTTTTGTTTCACTTCTTAGTTTAAATCATTTTAAATTATATAAGATATATAGAAATATTTTTAAAAACTAATAAAATGACAAATTCACTAAAATGTAAATCAAAATGTAAAAAATAAAAGCTAATTCAAAATTCATAATAGTATGCAAATACTAAAACAACACTAGTTCATCATTAACAGGACTGTGTTGTACTAGCTAACAATAACATCTGCCAACTCATTCTAGTATACAAAATTTTCAGTCATTGCATCATCTTATAAATCATCTTAAAAATGATATAAATCATTTTTCAGCAAACAGAGATGTGATGAGGAACATTTACCTTAGTAGCCTCCAGGCCTCTCTGTTTCTTTCCGGAAAGCTGGTTCTTCAGATCTTTGATTTCAGCCTCCAGGAGCTGAATGACCTCCTCGTAGTCTTGTTCAGCACTGTTGGTCTGTTTCTGAACAGCCTCTGCTACCTGCAGCTTACTTTTCAGAGACTTGTTCTCCTCCACTGTGGCTGTGGCCTTCTGTTTCAGCCATATGCATGGAAATAAGGGAATGCACAAAATGACGTGTGGAGAAATGTCTTAAATGTTTGAACAAGTTCAGATGGTCATGTTGTGATAGTATATATTTGGTATACACAAATATAGTAAGGTAAAATGGGCATCACAAAGTGTTGATGTATTAAAACTGCTCACATGACTCTTAATATTTGGGTGGCATATTTTGAGGCATTTATGTCACATTAAACAAATCATGTGTTTATTTGTGATGCTGCAGGCATTACCTCAGCCGTCTTCTGCAGTTCCTCCTTCAAAGTCTTCTTACTGTCTTCTGTGTCTTTCAGTAAGTTTTCAGTCATTGCATCATCTTATAAATCATCTTAAAAATGATATAAATCATTTTTCAGCAAACAGAGAGATGTGATGAGGAACATTTACCTTAGTAGCCTCCAGGCCTCTCTGTTTCTTTCCGGAAAGCTGGTTCTTCAGATCTTTGATTTCAGCCTCCAGGAGCTGAATGACCTCCTCGTAGTCTTGTTCAGCACTGTTGGTCTCTTTCTGAACAGCCTCTGCTACCTGCAGCTTACTTTTCAGAGACTTGTTCTCCTCCACTGTGGCTGTGGCCTTCTGTTTCATCCATATGCATGGAAATAAGGGAATGCACAAAATGACGTGTGGAGAAATGTCTTAAATGTTTGAACAAGTTCAGATGCTCATGTTGTGATAGTATATATTTGGTATACACAAATATAGTAAGGTAAAATGGGCATCACAAAGTGTTGATGTATCAGGCAGAACTCTTGCTCCACTGCAAGCACTTTGATCAGGATTTGCCGCGGTAGCATCTTCCTGCTGAGGAGCGTAACTCCCTGTCATGAGCAACCTGGAAATATACTTAGCTGTCTAAGTTCGTACTGAATCCAAAAATTTTTTCCCCCTGACAATCTGTCTCTAAAAACTCATTCTAAGTGTTACAAAGTGTAAACTCAAGCTCAATATCCAAATATGGATTAGGATTCCCTTTTCATAACGGGTATTTCCGTCCATGTAAAATTGTGGTTATTTCAGAGGTTGGGAAACTTAGGCACACACACTACACCGGTAATCACTAGCATCCGAGCAATGAGTGCTAGGCAGAACTCTTGCTCCACTGCAAGCACTTTGATCAGGATTTGCCGCGGTAGCATCTTCCTGCTGAGGAGCGTAACTCCCTGTCATGAGCAACCTGGAAATATACTTAGCTGTCTAAGTTCGTACTGAATCCAAAAAATTTTTCCCCCTGACAATCTGTCTCTAAAAACTCATTCTAAGTGTTACAAAGTGTAAACTCAAGCTCAATATCCAAATATGGATTATGATTCCCTTTTCATAACGGGTATTTCCGTCCATGTAAAATTGTGATTATTTCCTGTGGTTATTTCAGAGGTTGGGAAACTTAGGCACACACACTACACCGGTAATCACTAGCATCCGAGCAATGAGTGCGAGAGAGATTAATATCACATTGTCTTTGTTATTTTTGTAATGTTGAATTCCGCTACATTTGCATGCTAAACTACACCTTCCTTTTTTTTTTTTTGCTAAACTGCAGTAATCCTTTTCTTTGTCATACTAAGGGTTGGGTGGGGTGGGGGGGCTAAAGAAGGCTTGATCCTCCTGAAGGACAAAAAAAACAAGATGTTGATGGGGGTCATAGTACAATGAAGCTTTACCTATAAATATGAAGATACATTTCTAGTTTTAAATCGTAATTTCGTATTTCAAATCGTAATCATAATTTTAAATTGTAAAATGGCAACATCTGAATTGGTTAATACCATTAACATTACCCAAGCAGTTAAACTAAATATGCTATAAAAGTGAAGTGAATTTATTGCATGGATGGTGCAAAAACATAATGTCAGTGTGCACACGCTGGTGATTTGAAAAAGAAGTGAAAAATATAAAAAATTGCACTTCAGAACTATGAACTATGTGATTTTCTAAAAAGTGAATGCAAGTCCACATCAAAATGATTGTGAAAATTAGTGATTATTTCCTTTATCTATAGTTGACTGGCTGAAGACCATGTTATGCAGCTGCAGCATAAAGGTGTAAAAGCATGTTTCTATACCTCCATACGACACCGTTCCCTGAGGGTCTGTAGTGAGACTCTCTCTGAGCTGCCGTCTCTTCTCATCTGTTACATCCAAACCCAGGTACGACAGAGCCTGCAAAATGACCAAACTGTCAAAAACCTTCATCATTATAGTGCTTCTGGCCTATTCAATCACATCCTGCAGTTCTCCTATTCTAAAATACATTATTTTAATTAATTATTTAAATTTTTTATTATTTTATTACAAAACGATTTTTTGCTCAGAGCAAATTATTCTCTTGAAAAATTAAAAAATAACTATAAGCAATGGTGCTTAAATGTTTAGTGAATAAATAGATATTTTACGAGCTGACTGATGACTATGATTCTTTTTGGACTGCACAGCATCCAGCCATGCTTGAAAAGAGTATTACAGTTATGAGGTACGTACACAAGAGGGCAGTGTGGTAACAGAGGTCAAGTCAGTGGCGTTCAATAAATCCAGGTTTATGGTCCATAGGAGTTCAAAAGGCATTAATAAAGCTAATCAGATTAAGTTCAAACCTACAATCTGATACTGCCACAAAAGTAAGATACACCGTTCAAACAGCTATGGCAAGAAAACTGTCCTGTTCCAGATAAAACATCTACTTAAAAATAAGACAAACAGCAGAATAAACAGCATGACATCATATTGAAACTTTGGACCATGTCAAATACCTGTTCGTGTAACACTTAATATAGTGTGCATTGTGCCTTTAGTCCACATTTAAGTGCTCTGGTCCAGCGAGACCTAATCCTATTAATGGGCCGGTAGATTAGGGTCAGCCTCGGGATCAACAGGATTAAATTAAATCTCTGCTAAACAACTGCACCGTAACAAAGAGCAGAGACTGAGATGTATGAGGAAAGTGACACTGAGATATGATAGGCTATCTTCATAAGTACCCTGTCAGTTACTGAGATACAGGCTCCTTTTGAAGTCACTGGTACAGAGTTCAGTGGGGATTAACCCTTTAATCCCCTTTATGTTTTCTGAACTGTCATTAATTAAAAATACAGGTACAAGCTCATGCCACTGCAATAATAAATAATGCAGAACTATTTAGAGATTCTAAAAAAAATGTGTACCTCTAAATTAACAGTATTTATTTTAATTTATTTATTCTTAAATGTAAAAAACAAACAAACAAACAAAAAAATACACTCATATGATTTGAAGACGATAAAAAGGTTAAGGTCACACGACTTGTATACTACTCTTTTTATGTCACACTTTCACTCAGAAATAAACTGTTGATGTTAAATCTAGTTATTTAATTTTGTAACATTATCTAGCACAGTGGTTCTCAACCGAGGGCTGGGGCCCATTAGGGGGCCACAACATGACTAAAAATGTATAAATTATTTTTAATAATCAGATTCTAATCTAAATTAAAAATGCTAAAATAAACATACAGTAAAATCATGTTGTAAGCTGAAATGTATTTTCTTTAAATAAAATATTATAATCTAATACAAGTAATAAATAATAAAATATATATATTTCTTCTTCCTTGATATCTTTAATTGAAGAACATACAGCCAAAATCACAAAATGAATTAGTTTAATATATATCATGTTAATTAGTTTAATACTCGATACTCAATGTTCCTTTCTGTTAATAAAAAAGTTGAAAAACAAGCAGCTTTGTCACAATTACAGCAGAAATTCTGGAAATAGTCTATATCAGCAAGTCGTTGAATATTGTGTGTTGGAGAACAAGGGGCCTTCAAGTCAAAAAGGTTGAAAACCACTGATCTAGCCAGCTAATATAAAAATGTGAAAATGATTTTTGATAATCTTAGAGAGCATTTGTTGGACGGTTGGAAAATTATAATAGACTTCAATTATAGCTACAAAAATGTTGCAATTTTTATGTGTTAAATTGCAATATGTAACATATTTACCAAACATTACATGCAAAAAATTTTGTGAGGTCAGTGAAAATATTATCAGTTAAGTCAGCAGAAAAAAACCTTATTGTTGTGTCCTGGATTATCAGTCAAACGTTAACTTACCATGCACAGCACCTAAGAATGTTTCATAAAGCTTCACTCTGTGTACACATGCAAAACTGTTTGTATAAACTAAACCAGGCTTACCAGATCAACCTTCTCTGATTTGAGTCGTATGTGGGGGTCCAGCGAGATCTTGGGTTTGGAAACAGTGGCTTGTCTCTGTGTGGTGGAGGCTGAGGGGGAAAGTGGGACAGTAATTCACCTACTTTAAGAGTCATACTCACATTAGAGCATTTAGTGGTGAGCGCTAAAGTTAGCTGCATTGGGAAATGTGGTCTTAATGTTTTTTTCATTTTCTGGGAGCTCAAATGAATGGGTATTATATTAATACAATAAAGATTATGAACTCTGTGAGGGATTTGAATCGAGGGGGCGAGAGAGATAGCGATAGAGAAAGAGAGGCATTAACACCAGTGCTTTCAGTGGCGTGTGTATTGTCAAGCAACGCTCGCTATAAGAGCTATGAGATGATCACCCCCACCCTGGGGGCACACTCCTGCAGGGGATTTAGCTGCCTTCTGATGCTCATGATTGACAGCTTGAGCTCAGACACGTCAGACTCAGACAGGTCCCATGCTGGTAATTCAGGACCAACACACACAGCAGGAGCTCGCTCAGGAGGAGTGGATTTAACAGGTGGTACTGATGGTACACAATCCAGGACAACTAAAACAATTCAGATTAATAATGCTTCTATGAGTGTTCCACCAGAATTGCAAACATGTGGAAAGCCAGCGTAACTATTCGCCAAAGGGTTAGTTCACATAAAAATTGAATAATTTACTCGCCTTCATGTTGTACAAACATGTATAAATTCCTTTCTTCTGTGAAACACAAAATGTGAATTTCAGAAGAATATCCTGGCCACTGTTTTCCTTATAATGAAAGAGAATGGGGGCTCCAACATCACAAAAAAAAGTACATAAAAAGTGTCTCTATAACTTGAGCGCTACATTCTTAGTGTTCTCAAACTACATATGGCAAAATTAGACTGACATTATGTCATGATGACGTCTGTAGTCCATCATGTAGAGCATCATGGAGGGGTGTTACACAAAATTATCCATGAAAAATAATTTATATTTCAGTCTGTTTCTCACACAAAGCTATTATGACTTCTGAAATCCTGGAATATATTACATGATTCATATAGACCACTATTATAATACTTTAATGGTGCTTTTTGTCATTTTTAGTGGTTGACAGCCCAAGTCCCCATTCACTTTTATTATATGGAAAAGAGCAGTATAGATATTCTTGAAAAGTTCTCTTTTGGTTTTCATGTCATTTGGGTCATGGGGTGAGTATTGATGACAAAATTTTTATTTTTGTCTGAGCCATCTCTTTAATAAAACAATTATTAAATCTATAAGCCAAGATCAAAATCTGACACATAAGCACTTATAAACTAAAAGTCAATTTATATTAATAGTGTTTTTAACCTACACTCTCATAAAAAAGGTTCAAAACTGTCAAAGGGGCAGTACCCTTTCAAAAGGTGCAAATATGAATACTTTAGGTAATAATATGTATATGTACCATTTAGGGGTTAATAAGGTAAAAATGTACCTTTTAGCTTTTGTACCTTGACCCAGTGACAGCTTTGAACCATTTTTTCCAAAAGAGAGTATTGTAATACATTACTTTATCTGACAACCCCCCACCCCCCCCCAGCTGTAAACATCACTCGTCCATGCAGAGCAGAATTCTACAACAATCTCTACATCTCTACAAATCACAATGATTAAAGAATGACAACGAATGAGTCTGAGCGCATCTCTTTCTTTCTAGGAAGGACACCCAGAAGGGCTTTTGTAGGATTACAGCACCTATTTAATTCAGATAAGTCGGATCTGCCTTATTCTTATAAGATTTTATCAGCTAGTCTGGATAAATGGGTAATTAAGCACTATGCACTTTATAGACGTCACGCATGATTAGAATGCTATGCCTGTAAACACAACAACATCCAGAGTTCAAGGGCGTGCCAGGTATGCTTACATCCGGTCTAGATTAACCTTAGGCTCTGGGCCAGAGATAGCCTGATGGACAGGTGCATGGTGCATATTTCAGTTTGGAGACTGGACACTAAAGCCACACTTGAAAATGTCTGAATGTCATTGCATTAAATAACAATTTACAAACACAGAAACAATGAGTTTACTGTAAAAAAAATTAAAAAAATAATATATATATATATATCTCCTTACAAAAAAGTAAATTTACTTGAGAAGAAAAATAGTGTATTATAATAAAAATTGTTTTCAGGGAATATATTTTGAGGGTTTTAGAATTTATAATTAATATGCATAATTAATATTCATTATCAATATTTATAATTAGGTTTTTGAACTTTATCCACTGGCAATTTATTTTTGTTTTAAGCATAAATCTCAATAAGTACTGTTAGATTTGCGCCAAAAAATAAAACAACCAAAAAAAGAGCCAATGGGATAAGAAAAATGCTGTTTGTTTTAGTTCAGTAAGCTAGCCTCTTATACTCATCAAGGCTGCATTTATTTGATCAATTTTTTTTTTAAATATATATATATATTCTGAAATATCATTAATAATAATTCATATCATTATTACAATTGAAAATAACGGCTTTCTATTTTAATTTATTTTAAAGACAGATAGATCACATTTTAAAAAGTTGGGTTTCAAATGATAAAACAAATATACTGTTAGAAAAATGTTAGGGTAAGTTCATAAATAAAATAACTTAGTAAACTTAGTAAATAAAATAGTTATTTTCAGTAATTGATTATTCTGAGAAAATGTCTAGCATAATTTTTTTCATATTCCACTTGGTTTGATATATCTAATACATGGTACATTCAAACATAATAGAAAGACATTCAGTCATTTTTAAGTGTGAATTAAGTGTCAAAATGTAGAGAAATAAAATGGTGATTATTTTTTAGCATAGAAAGATTTCAGCATCTGGAAAAGTGACTTGACATGTCAACATACACTCAGACTGCTTCTTCAAAGTATCTAAGAGCATAAAATGGACTTAAGTGGCTTTCTCTGTATGGTTTCTTTAACAATTTATCAATCCCTTTTTGTGCCCCAAGAAAGGATTACACACTATGCACAGCAAGCCAATCTGTACTAAACAGCTACCCAGCTGCTGTGAACTGAGATAAGAGCACTATCTGACTCAACATGAAAGACGCCTTCCTTTCTTATTTTGGTACGTCTTCTAGAATTTGATTGTGTAATTTAAACACCTCACAAACATACCCGACCCCTGGAGCACAGAGAGATTATTTTGCAACTAGCCGTTGATTAAAATCCAAACACTGCTACTGACTAATCCCCAATCTTTCTCTCTGAAAATAAATAATTGCTTCGCAAGAAATCCTGTTTCTCTGAGTGATGGTTAATTTTAGATGCAGTCTGTAAGGTACAGTAACTCAAAGAGCAACTACTTTCTGTATTCATGAACCTGCATATGCACACCACTGATATTTTCCCTTTTAGTCTGTAACCATGAAGGATTTTAAAGGATGTCCTTTACAAACACAGTAACAATGGGTTTACTGCAAAAAATACAAATTAAATTAAATTAAAGATACAAATTAATCAATATGTTTGTCTTTTTTATTCCAGTAAGAATATCATCCTATCTATCTATTTTCAGGATTCTTTGATGAAAGGAAAGATAAAAATAATTATTTTACATTTATTTGAAATAGAAATCTTTTGTAAAATTACTGTCACTTTTGATCAATATAATGCATCCTTGCTGATTAAAAGTATTAATTTCTTTAAAAAAAAATAGTACTGACCCCAAAATTTTGAACGGTAGTGTATTTATTACATTTTCTCACTCAAGTAAATGTATCTTTTTAAAATAACATTGAGATATTTTTCAGTAAATAAAAAAAATTGCAGTAAAACAATAATGTAGTATGATAGAAAGGCACAAAGAGCACAAGATCTTGTGATCACTTTGCACAAAATGTACTCATTTTGAAAGGTTATGAAATTAGAGTACTCCTTTCAAAATGGAAATATGAGCCTTATAAATAACAAAATCTGCACTGTTCATGTGGGTGATAAGAATGGGTGGAAACTAGCTGTAAAGCTTATTAAGATAGAGTAAAGGGGGTTAGACCTATGAATCCACCTTCGTGACGTACCTGAAACCTGTATGTTTGGAGGACAGATATCCGGGGAGGATGAAAGCACTGGAGCTGTTTCCTCTTGTCGCATCTATGAGTAGAAAATGATGAAGTACTGCTTAGCAAAAAGACCATAACAAGTGTGTGTATTATGTAAGCCACAAGACTCTCTTGTTGAAATGTCAAAGACACGACATGATCTGTACACTAGTAAACACTCACCTCAGGAGATCGGACATGAACCTTTAACCGGCTGGAGTTGCATCCGTTCCCAACCCCCCTCTGAACTCCATTATGCAATGATGCACTGTTGGAGAAAGGTCCTTTTCCTGGGATGAAGGCAATATCCACCACTGGTTCTTGACTTCAAGGGCAAAGAACAGGGACACAAGGTACATTATGTAAAAGAAAGAAGTACAAAGACACTGATTAATTATTAAACATTGATCAAAAGACAAAGCTACATTGAACAGAGTGAATACCTGAATTTGACTTTGTTGAGCACACTTTTGGCCTCCTCATATGTGACTCCTATCAATGACTCCTTGTTAATGGTGATAAGCTGATCTCCGGGTCTGAGCCGTCCATCCTATAAGACCAAAGGAATGAAAATCCTTACTAAATGTTTCTGATCAGTCACAATTCATGGCAGACATTCAGTTTGAGAAAGCTGTCCCAACAGGATCAGCAGGAACATAAGCCACTGTACTACTCATCACCAGGTGGAGACCTCTCTCATGTCACAGAGGACACCACTACAGCAAGTCCATTCTCTCAGAGACACCAAAGTCACTAAAACTACTCAACTGTGCCAAAAGTCTCACATTCGAGGGAGTCCAATCCGCTCCCTACCATTTCCAGAAATTGAGGGTTTAGGAATGCATGATATAATATCAATATTGGCCAAAAAATATCATCAATTTTGCAGCAGGTCAACCTATAACACAATTTAAAAAATCTTTACTTAAAGCCAGTCAGATGTTTTTATACATGGCATTTTGTATCTTTGCCGTTTCTTATATTTCTTGAAGATGCTTTTCTTTTAAAACAGAAATTTTAAAAAGACCGTTTTCTGCAATTTAACCTGTTTGTAAATTAAAAGCCGTTTTCACTGTATGCACATGATGCCTGGAATCATTTAAAACACAGAGATTTTGACTATTAAGTTGAGATTTTTGTTTGTTTTAGGCTCACAAATTTTAGACTGTTATATTTGATATCTGCCAATACATCAGTTATTTGCTTCAAAATATAAATAATTATTATAAATAAATATAATAATTTCCTTATCATTGTATCCCCAAGTCAGTTTTTAAAAAAAGCTTTTTTGTTTGTTTTTGAAAGAAAAAACGTTCTCTTATGCTCACCAAGGTTGCATTTATTTGATCAAAAATACAGCAAAAAGAGTAATATTGTGAATTAATAATATATATATATATTAAAATTTTATTTATTCCTCTTGCTACAAAGCTGAATTTTCAGCATCATTACTCCAATCTTCAGTGTCACTTGATCCTTCAGAAATCATCCTAACGTGCTGATTGGCTGCTTAAGAAACAGTTCTTATTATTATTAATGTTGAAAGAAGTTGTGCTGCTTAATATTTTTATAGATTAAAATGTCTCTACTGTTACGTTTGATCAATTTAATGCATCCTTGCTGAATAAAAACATACATTTCTTAAAACCCCACACTTTTGAGTGGTAATGTACCTATTTTTCTGTATGCAAAAATACTAATTAAGATAATTATTCTTGCAGTTCTAACTATGAGCAACAATAAAAGTGATTCTTGTTTTTGGAGACAACAACACTAACATGCAAGTAAACACAAAATCAAGGACTAGACAAAACAAAACAAAACAAAAAAATCCACTAAATGGCCAAAAACACGGTTTATTTCAGATAGCTCTGAGTTCTGAGCATTGATTCTGGTTAAACAATTTAAAACGGACATGGAACCTTATATAATAGGTGTCACAGATGGCCAACAATCTGACACTGAAAATCTAAGTGATATTGAATATCTGAGTTTCAGCACAATAGTCCTGTAGGTGAATGCTACAGCTGCCCTCCCCATTCTGAGTTTTATATTCCACAGGGAGGGTGATGCCCTAGATGGCCTTCTGTACACCTGACCTCTGCAGTCTGCTGTGACAGCACTGTCAATCCACAGAACAGCCCACCGGAGCCTTTACCTATTTTGTCTATCAGGGAAAACACTCAAGCCAATGTAAAGCAGGGGATAAATTGCTTAGATGGTTTCCAGGAGATCTCTACCTACTTAAGAGGAAACCTTTGCACAGGCTCAGGCTATAACGCAGTAGTCTGACATTCTAGGATGTCATCCTCACATTAATCCTAACCCCTCTGCGATACAGATGGCTAAATGTGTTAGAGCTTAATGGTAAGGTGTAAAGTGATCCTTGCTTTGGGAGAGAAGATTCTTGGAGGTTTATAATCTGTTTCTTCTCCAGCTCAGACTAAACACTTCCTCAAACTGTATGACATCTCCCACTCATTTATGTCCATTGCTCTCTCTCTTTCTCTGTCTCATTCAATCATAGTTTGAAGACAAATGACAATGCTTAAATCTCCATATAGGAGCTGTCCGCACAACCTCACCTGCACAGCCATTCAGCACTTGTTATTCTCAAATTCAAACAGCTAAAACACAATTAACCAATGGTTCTCAATCAGGGGGCATGGCTCCTGTGTGAAAACACGTATACCCAGATTATGCACAAATACATGCGCACACAGCTCATTAAAGAGTCCCACTCTCTCACCCGATGACAATCTCCTCCAGACAGTACTTCCTGGATAAAAACTGCAGGGCCATCAGGTCTGTTGGAGCCACCGCCGATGGTAATACCCAGACTGCAGGAGCGAGCGACTGATATCAGCTGAATCACACCTTCACCTGGGTGACTGAAACCAAAAATACACACACAAACTCTGTATTACTAGAATGAACTGTTGATCAAAATTGTTAAAACAATTCAGACAGTAAACACAACTAAATCATTGTTTTCCATTGTTTTACCTTAGGGAGCGTAGCAAGGGTCCTGTGTTGTTGTAGTTACTCTGAGAGCCAGCAGGACTAAGCAACAGAGGACTTTGAGATCTGGATGAAGACCCTGATGATGTGCTGTCCAAGTATCTGCCTGCTTTAGTATAAAAAGATGCATAAGACGTGAGTGAAAAATTAATGATCGCAAACTGCCTGATATCAACCTTGACATATTACTAGGTAGTTAGTAATTATGAAAGCTTTTATAAGAACCACCAGAGGGCAGTGACACAACCCATCAATTCATCTGTTTGAAAAATAACAGAGGCTTCTGTACATAAAGAACAAGAGTTAGGCCCAATCCCAATTCTACCCCTTAGCCCTCCCCTTTCCCCTACCCTTCAGTTTCGCGAATTCACGTGAAGGGGTAGGGGTGTCTCGATTCTCTTTTGATTGGAGGGGTAGGGGTAAGGGGAAGGGCCGAAGATTCAAACAAAGATTTTTCGGAACCACACTTCAAACGAAGGGGTATGAATTATCTCAGCGTAAACCGGCTTCAGCGGCAACATGGCTGCCCAAACATCTGTGTGTTTCTCTTTTTAGAGTGAGTTTACTTCAAAAACAAAAAACGATTTTATCCTCTCGTTGCTGGAAAATATAACGAGCGATTCAGTATTTAAACTGTTATTAATAAAAGTCGTGGGGCAGTGTTGACAAGTTTCTTTGCTCCTGGATGTGTGAGCTGTGCGATATCTGATGTGTGTGTGTGTGTGCGTGTGTCAGTAAGCAGTGCGTTTATATAGAACGGTAATTAAAGGCTCTAATGCACACCAGCACACCAGTAGGTGTGAGTATTGTAGGAGCTAGACGACGTATGGTGACGTGTGACGGCATAGTATTGGTGTCCCGATTCTTAGGGGAATATTTTCACCCCTACCCCTTGACACTCTGTTTCAAGGGACAAGGGGAAGGGGTAGGGGAAGGGGAAGGGGAAGGGGTAGGGGAAGGGCAAGGGGTATAAAATAGAATTGGGATTGGGCCTTAGTGTATCCAAACTAACTAAAAATAAAGATGCAAAACCTTTGCTTGTTATATGCCACCGTTCAAAAGTTTTAGATCAAAACGATCTTTCATCATTTATATATTTTTTAAGAAATTAATAATTTTATTCAGCATGATGATGCATTAAATTTATCAAAGATTACAATAATAAAATGTATAAATGTTATCAAATTTTCTATTTCAATTAAATGCTCTTATTTTTAACTTACTATTCATCAAAGAATCCTGGAAAAAAAAGTGTCACATAAAAATGTGAAGCAGCACATCTGCTTTCAACATTGATATTAATAAGAAATATTTCTTGAATATTTCTTCAGCTTTGTTATCATATGAATAAATTACATATTAATGGAAAACAGTAAAACAGTTATTTGAACAATTCAAACTTTTGAACGGTAGGGATGCACCAATACCACTTTTTCCAGTACTCCCCCGATACTGATACTCTTATTTTTGGTACTTGCCGATACCGAGTACCGATACCAATATTTTTATTGCATTTGTAAATTTTTTAAATATTGGGTACAGAAACCAAAAGTGTATGCATAATATTAGTTGGTTAACTTCATTTATAAAATAGATACAGTCAAACCAAAATTTATTCAGACACCTTCAACATTATCACAGTTTATTTGCTATAGTTTAGAAAATAGTAATAAAATATGACAAGAACTCAGGGTTAAACTGTGTCAGAACAAATTCATCTTGATAATGTTAGATAATTTTGATAGAAAGGTATGTAATGGATTACAATCAACCAAAAATTATTCAGACAGCTGTTAGTATGACAGTATTTACACAACTATCAATACTTAGTTGGGCAGCCCTTAGCCTTAATGACAGCCTGTAGTCTCCTGGGCATGCTGTCACCCAGGTTCATGCAAACCTGAACTTAAATTTTTTCCCCAAACTCAGTCTGAATAATTTTTGGTCCCAAATTTGTATCTGTTTTACTGGTAGTCCACTGTGTGAAAAATGTTTGCGTATAATTTGTCACAGTTTACTTTATTTTGCTATCCTTACTTACATAAATGAACTATAGTGTCCTGCACCCACTAGTAAAAAAAATAAATAAATTATATCTGGTCTCTGAATAATTTTTGATTTGACTGTATATCCTTCGGTTATTTTCACACTTAATTATGCCCATTAAAATGTTTTTTTTTCATCTGAAACGTGCTGCGATTTATATTCCAAAGCCACATATAATGCAGAAACACTCAAGCAAGCAAAACGCGCGCAACTCGTGTACGTATTTGTACTGGTGCAGAATGAGAGGGACAAGTACAGTACAGCCTAGCACATTTCACACAGGCTACTAGATTGACTTTCGCCAGAAAGTCGTGTATGCCTAAGGTTGAAAATAAATTATGTTTATAGTGAATGCCTCTATAAATGGTCTTATTTTTACGATTTAATTTTAATCCAAATGATGCGTGCTAAGTGAGTGAACATCAAAAATCACACAACAGAAGTGCGCCCCCGCTCTCTCTCTCTCTCTCTCTCCCGTCGCGCGCTCAATCCACTCAGCGTGCTTTGTTTATCAGCTCGTGCACATCAGCTATACAGGCATTAATACTGAATGTTTAACATTATATTCATTGCAAACATATACTTCGTAGACATCCTTAATCTCTAATAACTCCATTCTGCTGTCTGTTGTTCTGTTGTCGGTGTTTCTTTGTCTGAATATGGCACTTATCGCATGCTGTGTGGTATCGGCGTTTGGTATCGGGGCATTTTAACAAGTACGAGTACGAGTACAGGAGCTCAGTATCCCTATTGAACGGTAGTGTATATAAAAAGGTGTGCTGAAATCAAGAGAAGCTGTCATGTTCATAAAAAGTCATGAGTTTAAAGTTTGCAAACTGAAGTTTGTGGTATTGTCAAAGAAAATGTCCAGATGAATACTTCGGACCAAAGCTCTGTCTCATTTGCACTTTTAAATTAAAGACTCAAATTAAACTATTTGCTGTGCTTAAAGCAAGTTACATCATTAGAATATTCTACACTGAAGGGAGAGCAGGGATCAGACTGAGCAGCCAGTGCATGAGCACACGCTCCGTTCTCAACAGCTTTTTCTGTGGAGTGTCTTTCCTCGGGCAGAAACAGATGTTCAGAATTGCATAATAGACAAACGCGCTGTCTTAAGCCATTTTCAAGGGCTGATTTGTTTCTCCCCTAAACATTATAATTATAATTGACTTGAGTCCTAAAAAAGAGATTGCTTTTTGAAAACACAGTTTGTATTTATGTATATTGTTTTACATTCATATTTGAGAAAGAGTAAAACTGTAGACATTAAAAAGAGATGATGATGAAGAGCTTTCTCCCTCTCCTCCTCCTGTTTGTTAGCCAGTTGTGAGGATCATATTGCATGAATCAGCATTTCATAACCTTTGTTATATCAGGGAAGTAGTGAGGTTAGGAAAGAGACATTCTAGTACACCTGAGCACAGAAATGAAAGAATTTACAGAAGGCAATACTATTTAAAATGTGTATATATTTTGTCTACTATAAACTAGACAATGACTGAAAAATAGAAACGTACTATGCTGAATGGGTGAATTCCTGGTAGATCCTGTGCTGCCGTTTGAGCCGTATTTTTCAAGGAGCTCTGCAAATTCTTGCCTACACAAAGACAAAAGAGGAAATAACAATAAGGTAACCAACCAAGCAAAAAATTTAAACCTTCAATAACATCATACAAAAAATCAAAAAACAAATACATTTAGACACCTAAATTACATAACGGTTCTTACTGCGCTCAGATTATGTAAGAATAGCTTGCACTATTCCAAAATAATATCATGTCAGTTAATTAATTTGTGAAGGACTCAGGAATGTTATATACACAATCCAAATATCCTCTAAGCAGATATGACTCTCTAGAGACCTGAATACATATACAGGTGCATCTCAATAAATTAGAATGTCGTGGAAAAGTTTGTGTATTAATTTCAAATTGTGAAACTCGTGTATTAAATAAATTCAATGCACACAGACTGAAGTACTTTAAGTCTTCTTATATATATGGCAGAATATTTTCATAAAAGCTTAAAATAAAATAAAAATCATGAAAAATTATAAAAAACATAATTTGGAACAATAACTGAAGATTGAAGATTTATATAATCAGTTTTTCCAGTAAATGTGTGTTTATGAATGTATAGTTGTCATATATTGCTGGAAAACAACTGGTCCTACCAAATCATTGTACTGTTACTGAAATATAAAGCAATGTCAATGGATTTCGTGATCAGTCTACTGAGTAAAAATAAACATGCTGAGTTCTCTTTAGTTCCCTTTAGTTGAGCTGGGCACCATCTAAAGTCTATTTAAATATTCCCCTCCATCTCAGTCCATTTTCCCCTAGACACCTCTTGAGTGTCAAATATAGGTCAACAGAAATGTCCTGTCACTGGACTCAAACCATATTCAGTTATGGACATGTGTCCATTACACACTGGTGCACAGTCTCGGCCACTGGCCTCTTTACCTACATGCAGGTGTCCCTGAGTGGCTCCAAAGACACATGCAAATCTAAGCAGACCTTTGCTTCTTTTAACTACAATGCAAAGTGATTTTGACGGTTGAGAAGACTATATAAGGACAGCCAAGCCTTCAATAACTACTGTAGACCCATAGATCTCTGCGTTCCTCCATACCAGAGCCAATTTATATTTATTCTAAGCCCAAAATATTTAGATGAAGTACATGATGCAATGTAAAAAGAGCTTTTTCCTCCTTTTCCTCCATCCTCAGGACGGGTTATCAGTGCGGATTAAAGGGAGGGAGGTCAGACAAGGTTGTGATGCATATGGTAAGGAGCTGACTCTAAAAGGCTTGAGCATTGTCTCGATACATACACATTCTAAACCATCTTCCTCATAAATACACACAAACAAAAAGCCCAGAAATGCTGCGCTGAGTCTTTCGGTCCCTGAAGACTTCCAGGTTGTTGATATGCGGGTGAAGGCAGCGGAGGTCTGTGCATGGAGGCAGAGGCGTAATCCCTTCAATGCGCATTGGTTAAGGGCAGAACGCAGATTAAAGCATGGAGACGCAAGGACTCATCTCATCATGGCTTAAACTGTGAGTCTGTTTTCATTCTCCCTCACTCTCGCTCCCTCCCGTATCTCCATGCACGCAATGCAGGGTTCTTCCTTCATTCATGCAAACTGCTGCCAGTCCAGACCCATGGGACTGAATCTCCTGCCAGTATGTCCGTATATAAAGTTCAAAAGTACACTGCGGTCATGCCACTGATTCTTACAGTAAACACATCCGGGATTCTGCATAAAATATGTCTGATGTGTACCAAACTCTGGAATATCCATTTATTCTAGCGGCTTACTCACTCATTTGAACTAGATGCTGCATGAACAGGGGTTATTGCACTATTCTGTCTAAATAAATAAATAAAAAGTGAATTTAGGGATCACAACATTATAATGTATACTGAAAAAAATTATGTAGAAACAGTTTTCACTCAGAAATTGCTATTTGATTTCACAAATATTTGCAAAGAAATGGGAGGTATCACATTGAATTAAACATGAACATTTGAAAAGACTGAAATAGTATTTTCTTGTAAAACATACTTTTTTGTTTTATTTACATCTTCTAAAAATACATTTGTACAGTGTACAGTATGAAAAATGGATATTCATTTTGAGATTTGCTAAAGGTTACATTTAACTGTTAATTTAGTAGTTAGTTGTGAGCATTATAGATTAGGGCAAAATGTAAAAATAAGGGAAATGAACAAGCATTATTACATACACTAAGGATATACAATATTATAATCAAGTTTGAGGGCAGTGTAGTTTTCTTTAAGAAATGTATACTTTTATTCATCAAAGATGCATTAGATAGATAAAAAGTGGCTGTTATAATGTTACCAAAGATTTCTATTTCAAATAAATGAAAATATTGTTTATAAAGTGTCCAGAATCATGGTGTTTTAGTTTCTTCAGGAAATCAACCTGTGAATGGCTTCCTTATAATTGTCTGTGTATATTAAACTAGAACAGGAAAAATTTCACATTTCACATTTACATGAAAAATGTGAGGAAAATGAGAGAATTATAAATGCGCCTGGAAAAAAAATATTGCTCATTACTACATAGACCTAATTTAACTAAAGTTTTAAAGAGTGAAAAAGTCACTAGCATTTCCATGAGCAGGAATGTCGTTTTTCCATTGATAGTTTTTTTCTAGTGAGTGAAGTTAACAGTGGAGAGAGGCAGTATGGGAGCCCTGCGGGCCCAAAGCTTGTCTTTGAATAGCACACCAAGAGACTCACATGCACTGCCAATACTCAGTCAGATCTAGTTTATGAACAAAATTATTCATCTTTCATTTAATTATTTAACATGTCTTCTAAGGGGTCTTCATGCTCACCAAGCCTGAATTTATTTGTTCCAAAATACCGTAAAATATTGGTAAATCAAAATTTTTTTTTTTACAATTTAAAATAACTTTTTTATTTTTTATTTTAAAATGTAATTTATTCCTGTGATAACAAAGCTGACATCAGCCATTACTCCAGTCTTCAGTGCCACATGATCCTTCAGAAATCATTCTAATATGCTGATTTGCTGCTCATAATAGCATCCTTGCTGAATAAATGTATTAATTTCTTTAAAAAAAAATGTTGCTGACCCCAAACTTTTGAACAGTAGTGTATATTTTATAATTGTGGCTATTGTGCTCAATGTGCTTTGATAATTTAATGTTCAAACGTTTTTTTTTCCCTTTGGAAGCTGCTTTTGAAATGACGTTTGTGATCTTCAGGGATGGTGTTATAATGGATAGATCAGTGGCTTACCTGGCTTCCTCATCTCTGGCTATGAGAAGGCACATATGATTGGTTGAGGATGCTGCTCTAAGAATGTCCACCGCTCTGCAATCAAACAACAATATCATACATTAAGTGTTTAGAATGACAAGTGGCTAATTTTGCAGGTAGAAAGTCATCACAGAGTTCATACAAGCAAAATAGAAAAATAAATTAAACAGAAAAAAATTAAAAATAAAAAACCAAGAGAGCAAGGTATGTACCGTTCATTTGTCACGCCAATCAAGCTTTCACCATTCACCTCTAAGATCTGGTCTCCAGGCTGCAGGTTTCCTAATAAAGCATTAATACAATAAAAACCATAAAGACCATAAATAAAACCCATGAAATGACTTGACAAATATATTACTATTACATACTACATAGTATTCTTTACGGTGCATTCACACAGGGCATCGACGTTAACACTTCTCATTTACTTTGAATGGGTGCTGTCATGCATTGCCGAATTGAATTGTGGATTGGCGTTGCTCACGGCAGAAGTTCAAAACGTTCAACTTTTCAAGTGCCAACGTTGTCACTATGACAGTCGTGTCAGCACCAAGCTTCTGACACCCTACATCAAGCATTGACGCCAACGCCCCACGTGAATGTACCGCTCCATATTATTCTTAATACTTTTTGCCATGTAAAGACAGACTACCATTCAAAAGTTCAGTGGGCCGGTCAGATTTTTTTCAAAAGAAATGAATACTTTTATTCAGCAAGGATGCATTAAATGTATCATGGTTCCAAAAAAAATATTAAACAGTACAACTGCTTTTCAACATTGAAAATAATAAGAAATAAACATATTTGAATGATTTCTGAAGGATCATGTGACACTGAAGACTGGAGTAATGGCTGCTAAAAAATTAAATTTTGCCATCACAGGAATAAATTACATTTTGTAAAAATGTAAAATATGTTGTATGTTTCATATATGAAAATGGTTATTTTAAATTGTAACAATATTTCACAACAGACCCTTTTCACAAGACTGTGATGATGCGTTTCAACAGTCATCAGCATTGTAAATCCTCCAAAGTTTTTTTGTATTTTCATTTGTTTTTTAATGTATGTACATTTATAACACTATACTGTGTATTATATTACATTTGCATCGAATTACAAACAACTAATTAACGCTAATGCGAGGATGTTTCTAATACAGCGTCTTTGGGAGTGACTGTAAATTTGACATTGTTCTCAGTACTGACTGCCGTTATCAGTCTCTATTTTTTTCCTTTTTTTGAAAGTCATGAAAACACTATCACAGAGTTTTTCTTTTGCTATTTGATTTTTTTATTTTATAAATTAAATAAATGCAGCCTTGGTGAGCATAAAAGGCCTCTATCAACAGCATTTAAAAAATCTTACTAACCCCAAACTGTTGAACAGTAATATATGTAGTCATTAAATCTGTAGTCTGTAGTAGATTAAAGAAGTCAAAAATGAAGAATTTAAGAACTAAGAACATAAAGAGCTAATGCTGATAACCTAAATAAATGTAATAGATATTTTTGTCATGCTAAGGTAATTGCAAGGTTACTGTGATATGAACTGCAATGCTTTTGACATAATTTAGCGACTCCTCATGTGTTTTAGTAAACTGTAGCAGTAGAAGAGACAGCATACAGCCCTCAATCTTTTTTTTCCCTGTAAGGCATATTAACAACAACATCTTCTCGACCCCTTCTACCATCACTTCAGAGATATCTTGTCAGAACAAATCAAATCCGGAAAGGAACAAGCTGTAAATTCTCAAAGGGGTCACCTATGTCCTACTCACTTCACTTCAGCCAAATATCACCTTTCCAGTGTCAGATTTTACAGACAACCTGGATTATAGGTACTGTGATTTGTCTTACCACCAAACCAAAGAAATGAGCCAGGAAGCTTGCTGACTTCTCTGAATGGTGAGCTGAGAGCGGGGCTAAAAACAAGCAAAGCCCCCTCAGAGCGCATGTGACCATATAAGCTCCCGTATACCCCGTGCTCGGCAGCAGCAGAATGGGAGGCAAACTCTAATTCCAGTCCGTCAGGGGCATTAACTCTAAGCACAGGGATGACGCTAAACTCCCCCTCACACGTGAGAGACTTAAGCAGAGGTATACGAAGTGAGACAGACAATCTGTATTGCAGAAATGTAAACAGCTGCACTGACACAGTATCCTTTCTCAATTTGTGTTTAAATTTCTCAGGTTCAATTTATGTGGCTATTATACATTATATATACAGTATACAGTATGTGGCTATATTAACAGATTTCAGTGTAAATAAAAAGTTTATCTCTAATACAGTAGATGCTTTGATTGATAATAACAAGATTGATTCATTTTGTTTATTAGCAAAAACTGTTATATAATGTGGATCAAAGCAATTGAATTAAACTGCTCAGATCAGATTTCAACTTCCCATGCTGGATGACTAGCCTGATCAGCTACGTTTTGCTGGTAACAATGTGATTTTGTTAGTCTAACAGTTAGACCAGCACCAAACCAGCATAAACTAGCCTGGACCAGCATGTAAATTCACATTTGTCTGAGCTATATCTTTTTCGGCAGTGTCTGAGAAACTATAAATTGATGTTTACATACATTTATGTTTTAGGAGACCACCTGGATAAATGTTAAGGCAAACTGTGATAAAAAAAAATGTTTTTGAGAAAACTTACCATCACTGGAAGCAAGGCCACCAGGTAAGATCCTCTTCACATAAACGCCATATTCCTCTCCTGTTAGTTCTTTCACACCACCGATCACTTTGATTCCTTAAGAAGAGACAAGCATGCGTCACTCAAAGTAAAATATTATTCTTCCATGCTTTTGTTTAGTTGTTGATATTGTATTTTTCATTCAAATAAATGTAAGCAAAACACAGAAATCATATCACAGTTCTTTACAACAGGCTGCATGACTAATTTCTTTGCCAAATGAATGCCACTACATTGCCAGTATGCACTGACAATTTGATCACAGGTGACTGTGAAATGAGAGATCTGAACATTCACTATTGTTTTCTGACAAAACAGACTGTGATTCATCTAAACAAGAGGAGATAAAGCAGACTTATGATATTTACCATGAACAATAGACAGCTTTACCTGATGCTTGCTGAAAGAGCTTTAACTCTCATTTGTTCCTATTTAGAAACCCAAAGCCGTTTTAATAGTTAAAAAAACATTCAGCATTTAATGTACAAACCCAATTCCAAAAAAGTTGGGACACTGTACAAATTGTGAGTAAAAATTTCTCAGTTTAAACATTTGATGTCATCTGTGTTGTATTCTGAATAAAATCTTGAAATTTGAAACTTCCACATCATTGCATTGTTTTTATTCACAATTTGTACAGTGTCCCAACTTTTTTGGAATCGGGTTTGTACTTTGTGCTGTGTGTAGATTGTAACATACACTATCATTCAAAAGTTCATAATGGGGGTCAGTATGATTAAAAAAAGAGAAAGAAATTAATACTTTTTTCAGCAAAGATGCTACATACATGGTTCCCACAAAAGAATTAAGCAGCACAACTGTTTTCAACATTGTTAATAATACGAAACATTTCTTGAGCATCAAATCAGCATATTAGATTAATTTCTGAAGGATCATATGACACTGAAGAATGGAGTAATGACTGCTGAAAATTCAGCTTTACCATCACAGGAATAAATTATGTTTTAAATTATTAAAATAGAAAACAGTTATTTTAAATTCTAATAATACTCTACAATACTGTTTTTACTTTACCCTAAAGCTTTTGAACGGTATTATACATTATATTTGTCACTTTGTTAAGGAAACTAATCCTAATGTAAATATGATAAATACTGCACCCCAGCTGCTGAAGGTGTGTTCCCATTTGTGTCTGATTTCAAGTCTGATAATAGAGGACTTAAACAGCTTATGTTCAATTGAGTCTCGCTAAAGTAAGGATTTACAGCTGACTTGGGTCAGTATTACTTTTAAGTATTACACACATAGGACTTTCAGAGCTTCAGGTATTTGGCGTGAGATTTGCATCCCCCTGACGTCATCAAGTAGAGTGAAATGAGTTTATTGGGTCAGTATGATTAAAAAAAGAGAAAGAAATTAATACTTTTTTCAGCAAAGATGCTACATACATGGTTCCCACAAAAGAATTAAGCAGCACAACTGTTTTCAACATTGTTAATAATACGAAACATTTCTTGAGCATCAAATCAGCATATTAGATTAATTTCTGAAGGATCATATGACACTGAAGAATGCAGTAATGACTGCTGAAAATTCAGCTTTACCATCACAGGAATAAATTATGTTTTAAATTATATTAAAATAGAAAACAGTTATTTTAAATTCTAATAATACTCTACAATACTGTTTTTACTTTACCCTAAAACTTTTGAACGGTATTATACATTATATTTGTCACTTTGGTAAGGAAACTAATCCTAATGTAAATATGATAAATACTGCACCCCAGCTGCTGAAGGTGTGTTCCCATTTGTGTCTGATTTCAAGTCTGATAATAGAGGACTTAAACAGCTTATGTTCAATTGAGTCTCGCTAAAGTAAGGATTTACAGCTGACTTGGGTCAGTATTACTTTTAAGTATTACACACATAGGACTTTCAGAGCTTCAGGTATTTGGCGTGAGATTTGCATCCCCCTGACGTCATCAAGTAGAGTGAAATGAGTTTATTGGATTTCAGGGGGCCAAAGCAACTCCATAAAGCTTCTGTAAATCTCCCTGGTGACAGAATGATCTTCCAGCAGTGATGTAAACTCTGTGCTGCACTGAATCGATTACTAAGTTCGTTAAACACAGAAACCTGTCTCACTTCATTGAGGTTAAAGGTATTGAGGTTAAAAGTATCTTTAAAGAAAGTTTTACATCGACCAAAATGAACAGTACCTTTGAAATACATTTTAAAATCATGTGCACTCACATGAGATGAAGACTTCAGTCATACCAGTAGCCTAATAAAAACTCACATATTGCACGTGAAGCAGGTCGCCTCATGGAGACTGCTATGTTGTGATCACATGACCTGCTAAAAACAATGCACTTTATCTCAATAACCTCTCTACACTGGAAACTTTCTCTCACAGAATAAATTAACTTAATAAAAAAATTAAATAATTTTTAGAATGCCATCAAGCTTTTGCACAATGCTGCATCCACACCACTAGGTGTTGTTTTAAAAACAAGACGAGTCCAGCACAACATAAACAAAAATACTGAGTTGTGACAAAACGGAAGTAGCGACAGAGCTTTTCTTCCGTATCGTGTCTTACGTCCGAGTGAAACGGAAAGGCGGGGACTTGGTTCTATGCATCGGTTATTGACTGGACGGAGGAAGATTTGAATGTGAGCTTGAGGTTGACTGTAAGAAAGGGGCGGGTTTTAAGCAGGCGAAACGACTGGAGACGCCTGAAATACGTTGACAGAGAGAAATCACCCAAAGAACCAGGTATGTGGTCAAAAAACCAGCATATGCATAAATGAATTTGTTCACAGTAAGATCAATAACATGTAATAAAAAATAGATAAACTTAGGGCTCATCTAAAAAAAATTATATTGAAAAATTAATTGCCTACATGCCAATTTGAAGATCCCTTATTTGAGAGAGTAACTGCAAATCAATGTTGTCAGGCCATTAATTGTTGAATCAACAGGAATGAGCTTTGATGCCAACAAAACATGAAAGCCTTTAATGAGATGAGCATCTTTCATACACTCTCAGAAAAAAAGGTACAAAATCTGTCACTGGGGCGATACCTTTTCAAAAGGCACACCTTTGTACCTAAACAGTCCATACTGGTACCTTAAAGGTACATAATAGTGCCTAAAGTGTATTAGTACCTAAAAGGTACAAAAGTGTTGATGGACAGTACAGATGCTTTAGATTCGCTTTTGGTCACACAGTTTAGTCACACTCATGGAATAATAAATATCCTCTTTTTGCTTCAGGCTTATCTGGTATTAATAGACAGACAATGTATTGGCACTAATTGAGTTTTGAGCTGGCATTGCAAATTAATAGATTCACTTCAAGATAAATCTTGAAAACACTTTAATGAGAAGAACAGCAACACAGTTATCCACAAAGTGTGTTCTGAACTAAACTCAAACTCAAAAAATTTCATATAACTCAAAAATAAATGCAAAGTAAGGACTGTGTCCTGGAAAAACCCTTGAATGCTTATCACAGTGTCACACTTAAGTCTGTACATGATAGCGCTGCAAATATGTGTTGTAAAATATTTCATTTATCGGTGCTGTTTTTATCCAGAGCACCACTTCCTGAGTCTGTATTCATGAAAATGTCTCCTAAAACAGAATCGTCTTGTAACACAATGGATTGTTGACTGTGCAAGTTGTGATGTAAGAAGGACAGGTTTAAGGAGCTTAGAGCTGCCTTCAAATAATGTTTTTGATCTATTGTGAAGAGGGAGATCAGGCTGCGGAATAAATATAACAAAGACAGCGCAAGACTTGAAAGACTGGAAATCAACCATACCCTAAACCTATCCCATCGCTTCGCTCCAAGTCTCCACCATACACTTTATTTCACTTCCCCATGGCCATTAGAGATCAGAGACTATGCTGTACAATAGGAATCTGATGCTTTGAATGATTTGGAGAGTCAGTGATTAATAACCCATTCATAACTACAGCATTTTGCTTCGTTACTGAATGAATGACGCGATGTCTGGCTCATTAAGACAGCGACTTGCCGCCATCTATGGCAGTTTTATTTTTAAATCTACAAGTATCACTTCAATTTGCCATAATTTATTGCTTTATTTATTATATTAATAATACACTTAATGGAATGTTAAGAATATGATATAAAACATGACATACAATTAATAAGAATAGAAAATTTTGCCTCTATAAAGGTAAAAAATGCACCTGTAAATCAATTTAAGGGGGCAAATATTGTCCTTTAATAGAAAAGGTGTGACTGTGGTCTAAGTGGAAGAGAGGGGGTACGCCGCTGTAAAAAGTTTGAGAACCACTATGATAGAAGATCTGATGGAATCTTTGGTAAATTATACAAACACACAAATGTACAATGAAATGAATATGTTATGAGGCACTTACCTAATCCATTCTCACAGTCTGTAAACTCCATAGAATGCACTGCTCGATCTACTCCATACGGACCCATCAGTGTCCTGTGCAGGACAAAGAAAAAAAACAGCATTTCATCCATGTTAAAACATGCAAAAACAATGCAGTAACATAGTGAGACTTGTTTGATTCATAGACATAAACAAGGTCCTATCATTTTTTGTTGTTGTTTTGTTTTGTTTTTGTGTTGTTTTTCTAAATTCAGTTAAATTTGAAGCCGGTGACTCAATTCTGAATACTGTAAAAAAAATAATAATAATAAATAAAAAGATACACTGTGAGTTTATGTGTGGGGTGAATTTGCTGTACTTGCTGTGCCTGTGAACTGTTATTAGTATCAAGCCCAGTTCTTTCCAGTGGGGAGTCAGAATAAATTATTTAGCATGAATGTCCTGCTTTGTACAGGCTCCTAAAATGGACTCTTTTTCTCATGAACTCAGAATCTGTGTGTGATTCTGATTTTTGAGATTATGTTTTACTTCGCTACTCAATGAAGTAAAATGAATTAAAGAACCCAGTTCTTTTGGCAGTGGAAACACTGTTTTCATGCAGTTGTAGGAATGAATATAATGAAGTCTCTGACATTCTTAGGGCATTTTGTTGTGACTTACCAGCACTACACCAGAAAAATTACATGCTTCCACCACAATCCAGCCTTTCCTGCAGGCTCACTGCAATGTCCTTGAAATTGTACTTCAGATTGTCTGAACCTAAGACTTCATCTGAGGCTTCAATTCAAGCTAAACATATTTCACAAGAGTTACGTAACAAAGAGTGTCCACTGTCCCCAGCACAGTCCCCTCTAAAATAGACTTTTAAAATAGTAGGGAGTCAGCGGAAATCATATACATATATATATATTTATATTAGGGCTCTTAAAGTTAACCTAGCGACTTCTGATATTAATGAAATGGTTAATGCATTAATTCAAATATATGAATTAAATATGTTTAATGCAATCAAAAAGAATTATTTTTATTCAAAAACGGGTCAGAAATCCTAGGACTAATCATGGTTATTTTATTCTAATAAGAAATTTAAAAAAACAAAAAAAACTAATGGGTTTCTGAGAGTTTATCAAATGTTTATACATACGTTCAAGAATATTTAGTACTTGTTTTATATCTTTTTTTTGATTTGCTCACTGGTGATGGTTTCAATACTGTAAAAGCACTATACAAATAAACTTTAATGTAACTGAAATTTATATTAGGGCTCTTAAAGTTAACCTAGCGACTTCTGATATTAATGAAATGGTTAATGGATTAATTCAAATATATGAATTAAATATGTTTAATGCAATCAAAAAGAATTATTTTTATTCAAAAACGGGTCAGAAATCCTAGGACTAATCATGGTTATTTTATTCTAATAAGAAATTTAAAAAAACAAAAAAAACTAATGGGTTTCTGAGAGTTTATCAAATGTTTATACATACGTTCAAGAATATTTAGTACTTGTTTTATATCTTTTTTTTGATTTGCTCACTGGTGATGGTTTCAATACTGTAAAAGCACTATACAAATAAACTTTAATGTAACTGAATATGTTAACATTAACACAATGTCACCTTAACAAAATATTCTCAATATTCCCAAATATCGCAACTATTATTTATTTTTGTTTTTAGAGAAATGGTATTTAATTTTGCAAAAAAAAAACGTCCTAAATATCATGCTTAATATAGTTCTCACATATGGTCTTTGCACATGAAAATGTCCAGCTGCCTTTATATTTTACAAAGTGGGTCCCTTGCAAATGGATTATCATTTTGGGTGGGGTCTTGTCATCAAAAAGTTTGAAAACTAAAACAAAAGTTTTCAAACAAAAAAGCATATAACAAAGTTTTATAAATTCCATGATGTATGTATGAATGGATTTAGTGAGTACGCACAAATACATTATAATCTCCGGGTGATTAGAGCACATTAATAGTACATCCTTTACAGTGTTGTGGATTCTTTAAAGCATAGCGGGCAAACGAAATCAAACACGCCCTCTCCACAGTATAACTGCAGTCAAAGCAATTTATGTATACGATGGAATGGTGAAGTAACCGTCGTTCAACACTTTTTACCCACGTTTTCCATTCTCTCACCAGTTACATTAGAAAGTCCGCGAGCACGATATTTTGGGGACACACCTGAGCACAGCCCAGTTACCACAAAGTACCCAAAAGTCACCAAAACCGTCAGTAGCGGACAAAGTGAAGACGCGCGTTATGTCGACGCTTCTCTCAAGACTGCTCAAGCGCATTTTACTCACTGGAGCTAATGAGATGGAAAAAAAGAGCCATGACGCCGCTCAACTACCAGAAAATTACAAAACAAAGGTTTTTACCTGCTAATCATGACAGCTCCCTTGTACATGACCGAAAATGTAGGCATATTCAAGAGATTTTTGCGCATCCAGCGACGTGTATCGTATGCCCATTCCTCTCGTGATCAGCGCCTCGCGGAGGTCCGATACAGCGCGAGCCACATGATTCACTGCTACAGCCCTCTAATACAGATGATCCTAAACATCACCAACTTTGCCCACAGATTAAAATCTTATGCAACAGAAAGGGGGGGGGGTAGTGTTTTTGATATAGACATTTTTTTTGCCATTGTTTAACAATGACTGGAACAGGTGGTTCCCAAACAGAAAGCCAAATATTTACATTTATGAATGGAATTTAAAGGCTTAAAGGTGGTATGATATACAAAGCGTTGATTACATTAAGCTATTTCAATCCAATAGGTCTTTCAAGGACGTCAGGCTGAACTGAAGTATAGAAAAGTCTTTTGCATCAGATCAAACCTGATATGGGAATGAAAACTGACAAGCTAAACTCTTGGGTCTTCAAACAAGACACAGGTTATGCAAAACAAAATATTACCACTAAAAAACATATCATGATGAAGCCCACAGTCTAGTGAAGAAATAGATTAAATGAGTCAGGGAAAAATGGAAAAACAGGAATCGCTGATGCTTTGGGGAAAAAACAACATTTGTGCAAAAAACTCTAAATCCTTGTCAACTCAGAAAGACATATTTAATCTCTCGACCGTTTCCATTTTTAGCCAGCGTTATTGTCTATGGTCATCCCATGCAAAGCTAGAGTGCTTTCCTCTCACACTGCAATCAGATTTATACACACATGCTTGAGGTAAAATTACACAGCTGGATTGCACTGTCCAAATTTACTCAAGTTTTTGTATTCTTACAATATCATGTGTAATGTTTTCAACTCTTTATGTTTAGTGGGCTTAAAAAACATTCTTTGAAATTACTAACTGCATTCATAATGTAATGAAGTGACTACCTGTTAAAAGAGATTAGTGTCATTTAGTGCTCAACAAATAGTGTTGCTTGTGCCCTAGTTAAGAGTCAGAGTGACACTTTGCCTTAAATGCATTGTCGCCGTGTAACTCCTCAATGTCATTTACCTCGACACATGTCCTGTGATTCAGAGACCACTTTTTATCAGCAACTACAATCCAAAACAAGTCACACAAGGTTGTACCAAAAGCTGCTTAAGTCTGGAATACACAACACAACTTTTAAAATCTGAACTGACTTTAAAACACTGGGCTGCATCATACACTTACCGACTTTGTAAACAGTCACAAAGGAAAAACGGGCCATCATACACTAAACGACTGAGGATCACGCACCGCCAGACTTTAAAGTCGTTCCAATCTCAACAAACTCACACAGAAATGTGCGCCTTGTTGCTAGGAGACACATGACAAATTAAAACAATATGTGTTCTAAAACTGTCTGAAAAAAATGTGTCTGAAGCTAAGAAATCGGAGTCTGAACCCATCACACATTACGCAATTTTCTATGAAATCTGTCAACTCAAATCTGCAGACTGGCTCTGCAGATTTTAGGCTAGCTGCAAACTTCTACAGACTGTAAATCAGGGAAAAGTTGAGTAGTGTATTCCAGCCTTTAGAAGTGTGCTTTCTTTAGTTTTTTTATGCCTGTTGTTTGTGTTGTAGTTAACAGAATGCTACATCTTGGATAATGTTACCAGGCAAAATGAAAAAATGTGCATCAGATGTTACAGTCTTATTTATCAATGTAAATAATGTATCTGTTACTTCCACTATCACAAAGTTCCTGTGATAGTAACAGTGTGACCAGACTAAGCCTTTCTTGTGCCAAATTCACAGGCTGTAATGATGTAATTTCAGGGATTAGCTTTTACACAACCGGCCATGATAAGCTTTATATTCAAAATTATCACACCAAACTACACTGACTCAAAACACTCTGTCTGGCTTGCCTTAAATTTCTCCTGTAAATCCTCTCATGAGGTTAATATGTCAAGTGTGATTTGCACATTCACATATCAAGCCATGACTGGCCAGAGCACTTTTGTACACGTGCAGAGCCAGGTCATGGTCCCCAAACCTCAACCGCCCCTCTTCACAGACACCTTATACTACGTTAAACAACAAGAGAGTAATTTGGCTAAAAAATAAATGTGTTTTAAACAGTAAAATGAAACAAATACTAAAAATTAAAAATAGTAGCATTCTAGTGTGTATTACTGCTGAAATATTTAGAAAAATATTCTACTGTGGGAGATAGATGTGCAATCTGTTTGATTGGTTTTACTATTGTGTACCTTGGCATTGATGGTTTAGTTGATGCAACAGTGAAAGTACATCTTTAAAAAAAGGTGACAGGACCTTAAAGGCAGGGTAGGTGATATAGTTCGAAAACATTTTTTATTATGCTGACTGAATGTCTTTTCACATCCCAATAGCAATCATTAAGCTAAGTGGTCTAAATATATTTATATGTATTTATATCGTCTATGGAAGGTGTAGGACCATAAAAAGTTTGTCCAATCATATCCCTCGCTCCGAGGGCTACTATAGGCTGTCCTGCCTGCCTGTCAACGTATATATTTGAATACCTCCACGCACCCTGTTCGAGCATACATGATACTTCATCAGTGTGTTCCATTACTCTATTGCAGAGCGAGCTATTTTATTGTAATATTATGCGCTTTGTACTGTAATGTTTTCTCACTGCTGAATGAGACATGAGGTAATCTGACAGCGTCGCATCCAACCCTCCACCAACGCCGTCTCTCATCGGGACGCTGGTACGCCTCTGGTCTGCCTGTGCGCTTTCATGTGTTTTGTAGGAGGCGTGACTTTACAGAGTGATTATGCTGGGAGGGTGGGATCTTGATTTCAAAGCTAGCATGCTATTGCTACCTTTTCTGAAATCGCTACCTTTACCTTTAAAAGGATAGTTGACCCAAAAATAATTTGAACTCCCTCATGAAGTTCAAAAACTGTATGACTTTCGATCTTCTGTGGAACATAAAAGTAAATAAATGTCTCATTGTTGACATGAGGGTGAGTAAATTATGTCAGAATTTGTTAAAAGTTTAAATACCCTCACTAAGGTCTATAAGGCGGTATTTTGACCAAAACGATCTGACACTGAACACAGCAAATGCAAGGTATAAATAGGCACTGGGAAGGAGTGTCAGGTACTGCCAATATGATCAGGCTGCCAGTGCGCAAGTTGCTAGGCAACGCTGACGAGCGAATCAGACCAGCATCAGAAACACAACACAAGGCATGAATGAACACGTGGATCTGTGAACCGTGATATTACCCCTCCCCCTAGGAGCACCTCCTGTCGCCTCTGAGGGAACTTCTCTCCTCTGGACCATAACCTTCCCAGTCCACCTCGAGTCCAGAATACATTTGACCAAATATACAGGTTACCCATCTACAAGTCGCAGCATCGGGGGAACTAGGGAAGGCGGATTAATGGCAGAATAAAATTTGGGTTTTAATTTGGATACATAGAAGATGGGATGAATTCTCCTGTACGCCGGAGAAAGTTTGAGGCAGACAGTCACCGGACTAAGGATTTTGGTGACAGTGAACGGACCAATAAATTCAGGAGCAAGTTTACTACAGATGGTGCGGAGAGGAATGTTCTTAGAAGAAAGTCACATTTTTTGACCAACAACATAGATGGGAGGCTTCGACTGGTGGCGATCGGCCTGGACCTTGGTGCGTGAGCCCACCTGGAGGAGTTTCTGTCTGGCTTTCCTCCAGGTGTGTCGGCAAGATTCTGTGAAACCAAACATCGTAACATGCGCACCAAGTCTTGGCTGGCTCTCTCAGTTTGGCCATTACTCTGAGGATAGAAACCAGAGGAAAGACTAACACTCGCCCCCAACAAATGACAAAACTCCCTCCAGAATTTGGAGATGAACTGGGGCCCCCTATCAGAAACCACGTCCATCGGGAGGCCATGAATGCGGAAAACATGGTCAATGATCGTAACCGCTATCTCTCTGGCAGAAAGTAATTTGGGCAGAGGAATAAAATGGGTTGCCTTCGAGAGCCGGTCCACCATGATCAAAATTACCATGTTAGGGAGGGAGAGACGTGACGAATTCTAGTGCAATGTGGGAACAAGGTCTCAAAGGAAACAACAACGATTGGGAGTCTTACTACTATCATAGACTGAACAGGCCCCAAAAAAAAAGACGGATGTCACGAGCCATAGATGGCCACCAGAACTGTTGCTTAACCAAAATGAAAAATCATGACGTGTGATGCATCTTTACGACTTAGAAACTAATAAAATTCCCATTTCCAAGTGCCAGACATCTTCAGACTCCATCTATCTCTAATTCACACTGCAAGAATGATGCAATTTTATAGGCCAACCAGGAAGTATCATCACCCTGATTGCCTCGACAAAAAGCCAACAGGATTTTTTATTGGCTTTGGATAATCACTCTGTGACCAACAAATGTTTATGATTCTTACACGTTTTGTTCATCTAGATTCTAGATAATCTTCACAACAATGAATTTTGAAGCCTATATACAATTGCCAGGCATTTAAAGTTAGCGTTAAGTTATAAATGAACTACCACATGACATACAGTAGTCACATGACTTCATCGTCACCACTTTTTAAGTCTTATTTAAAATCTTTTAAGTCTTATTTAAAAGTTGGAAAGTTTGATTTACAGTAGTTTGCAGGAGTGCAATTATAAACACAACGAGGATGTGAAAGTGGACTAGTGAGTAGATGAGTTTTCCTTTTCGACATAATGACGTTTAATGTCCCAGACAACCTCTGTAGTCCCATTTAGCCACTTGTTAGTAACAGTCTTTTTTAAGACACATAAAAGCTTAAAAAATCACTAGTTGGGTAGTAATGATGTACTATGTATTGATGTATTATGCCGTGGTATAAAATGAGAATAAAAATGATGGAATAAAAAAATAGGAAAAAAAATTCTTGGAAATGTTAACAACAAACCTTATTTCAAGCATTTAACCAACAACCCATTTAAAAAAAAACATTTCAGAACGATGGAACCGGAAGTTCAAAAATGCTAACTCATTTCTGCGTTTTAGGCAAAGCAGTTGACCTCTATGATGTGAATTTTTTACCCTAAACCTGTGTGCTGTAACCTTGGTCTACTGATGGGACACAAAGAAAGAGTTGTT